GTAGCAGCCGGAAATATGGGTCTAGATTTCAAAAGAGAGGGCCCAGCTGGAGTGTGAACTGGGGGGCACCAGCACACACACGGTGTTTGAAGCCAGGAGCCTGTGAACCTTTTACTTCTTATAAATAAAAGAGCTGAAGCAAATATGACAATGTTGACATCTGTTAATTCTGGGTGGTATATACACTCTGCTTGTAATACTAGTCTTTGTACTTTTTAGTGTGTTTGAACTTTTTTATAGTAAAATTAATTAATAAACAGTTTATAAGACCACAAGGCTCCAAACTGCTGAACAGTTCTGTCAGGAGTGCCTTCGACCTAAAGTGTGGGTGCTAGCAGCGAGTTAAGGAGCCAGGTTCAAATTCCCCTGCCACCAACCTCAGCTCAGTGACCGGAGGTGGACCCTGTCTCTCTGGGCCTGTGTCCCCACTTGGACAACAAGAAACTGGCGCATGGCTTCTCAGGGTTCTTTCAGCACTGACCACCCAGGATTCAAGCTGGTGCCCCACAGGTCCCCTGCCTGCTCTGATTTTGTCCGCCACCTCTCATGCCTGTCCTATAGATAAGGCCACAAGTACCCCCATAAGAGGGCTCCTGTAGGTGGAGGGCTAACTTTACCTCCAAACAGATGGCAAGTACAGCAAAGAGGAGTCAGAAAGGACAGGGCCCCTGGTCCCCAGGCCCTGGGACCCCAAAGGAATTAGGCTGAGCTTAAAGGCAGGGAGCCCAGAGACTAAAAGTGTTCACAATATGTACTGCTGACGAATGCATCCTGCTCAGGACCTTGGGCCCAGTGGAAGAATAGTCTATGAGCCAGAAACACACAAATGGGTGTGTGGCTGAACCAATCTGCCAAGTTGTAATAGGCACGGATAATGAGAGTAGTAGTAATAATAGTAGCAATAATATTTATGTGACGGGTTCTGAACCAAGCGCTTACCGTGCATTCTCTCACGTAACCCTCACAATGACGGTGCCGTGGGGTTATCACTTTCATTAGCCAGACTTTGGGGATGACGAAAGTGAGGCTCACAGAGTCAAGCAACTTCCCCAAATCACGCAGCCGAGAAGGAGCAGAGCCTGGATCAGAACCGAGGCAGTGTGACTCCAGATCGCAAGGTCTTGACTGCACTTGGGGAGCAACAAGTTCCTCTAAATCTCTCCGACGAGAGCCAGAGAAGACAGCCTAGCTGAAGCGCTGTTCATTGAGCCATTTATTCATCATCAGCCCATAAATATCTACTGAGCACCCACTGTGTGGCAGCACTCAGTGTGCCTGGCCCTGGGGATGCTGAGATTAGCAGCCTCTGTTCCTGAGAAGCCTGTGGTCTAGAGAGAGGGGTCAGTTTACAAACCAGCAAGATAAAACCAGTGGGCTCCCGGCTGCGTTTGTCCCGAGGGTCCCTGTATGGGAAAGGAGGGTGATCCCAAGAGCAAAACGTGGACCAGGGTGTGGAGTCGTGAAGTGAGACCTCCCTCTGCCATCATCACATGGCTGAACCTCCGTTCCTAGGCCATGAGTTCCAGAAAGTTCTTTCTGGCAGAAACTGCTGGGCCCAGGAACAGCACGAGTCTAGCTGTTACCTTTATGGAAAGGGAAAAAGACTCAAACCCTGTCATTTTATCTTTTGTAAGAGGTAGAACCTTAGCTGCTCCTTTGGCACAAACTGTTTCATTGTTCTGAGAAAACCACTTGAGTTCACTTACATGTGAAGCGCAGGCCGTCACTGGAGAAGGAGCTATTTAAGGCTCAGTGACTCAAAGGAGGTACAATGCTGTGTGATAATAAAAGAGTTGCTGCAGGCAGGACTGCCTCTTTGCTGGAGTTCTTAACCAGGACCCCTCAGGGGTCCACCAATGGGATTTAGGAGAGCCACAAAACCCCTGAACTTGTGAGGAGAACCTTGTGTCTTTGTGCATTGTTTTCTGGATGACGGTCCAGAGCTTTCATCAGATTTTCAAAGGGCTCCTTGAAGCCCCCGAGAAGGCAAAGGATCGCTTCCCTGAAGAAGTATTTATTTCCTAAGCGTGGGTTTAAGCTGTACCCACCAGCCATTGCGTGTTCTTGGCGTGGCACGTGTGTTCTTGTTTTCCTGCTGCCATGCAGAGATCCGCTGAGACCCAGAAGATGGCCCAAAGGGCAAAAAGGGGACTGTGGATGGGCTTCCCCAGGGACTAGGGAAGGGCCATGTTAAAGGAACTGGACAGCCTGGGCACAGTTCAACATGGACTCCACTGCCCGGTGCTAAACATGGTCATTTCATTCTGCGCAGCCCAGAAATTGGGAAATATCTTCACACTTGGGGATTGGATTTTGATATTACCATTCACTTGGGGTATTAAGCAACATTGCAATGTCAACCATTCAAGGAAGAAGCAATTCCTGGCTCAGAGAGTGAGGGGGGAGGAGAGAGGGCTCAGATGAGAGTGAAGGAAAATCCCTTCCTCTTTCCAGGCTCACTTGGTTGGACAAGACATTCTAAGGCATTAATATCTTCTAGAGGGCACATCCGAGAGGCGGGGGGAAGGTGGCCCTGCCAAGACATGGGCTGGGGCTGTGCCGGGAATGCAGGCCCAGGAAGACGGATCCAGCCTGTGGACTCTGAGAGCAGCCTCATCCAATTCTGGGTTTCCTGGGCTGAGATGTCCTCCTGACCTTCTGAACTATATGCTCTGCTTTTCCTCCCCCTTGGCTCCCCAGTGCCCAGCACAGTGCTGGCCCTTTGAAGGTGCTAAATGAGTAGATGTGCCTGGATTCCCTACTAGGCTGTGAACTCCCTTCGGGCAGAGACCACATTGGATCACTACAATATTGCTCCCACCTACACCTCCCCAGGGCCCCACGGATGAGCATGGGGAGGAATCCCTTTCTCCTCACTAGACATTCTCATGGTTCCATGGGTCAGACTGAGGCCTCAGTGGTCCTTATGCGTGACCGATGGAGACCCCACTAACGTACCAACTGGGAGGAACTGTCTCCACTGGTTGCAGCCAGGCTCCACTTTTTGCCTCTCCGAATGATGCCAGCATCTTTCAGCAGAGTCCTCAGCCCCCATATGCAGGATGCTCGTGGACCTGTCCACTCGTCATTCACTCACTCATTCACTTGTTCTCTTACATGCCCCCTCACGCTCTCATTCAGTCTTCAGTCATTCAACTATTCATCTGATTCATTCATTCATCCAACATCCACGACACAGAACACTGTGCAGGTAGGGAGATGCTCCAGACATGGGTCTCGGCCCTGAGAGCTCCCAGATTGAGGCGAGGGGCATCAGAGCCATGCACACAAATAATCATACAGCAGAATAGAAAGTAGCAAAGGTCACAAGAAACGTACGCATGCATCACTGAGGGGCCACAGAGGGAGAGGTTTCTTCCAGCTGAGAAAGGGAGAGATCAGAGGCAGCTTCCTGCAGGAAATACAACCAGAGGCAACTCCAGAATTTCTACGTGGAGAGAGAGTGAGGATGGCAGCTTGCGGGGGAAGCTGGATGCCGCATCATCTGGAGGGGATTGTACATAGGACTGAAGAGCCGTCAGCTGCCTCATCAAAGAACGGGGTTATGCTGGAGTTGGGGGCTGGTTAAATCTCTCCCAAATCCTCTCTTGCGTCTACCGCTCAAGAAATCACATTTGAGCTGATGCCTCGGTAAATGGGGAGGATTTATTGGGACTCAGGTGAGAGGGAAAGGATGAACACCTGCCAGGAGCCAAGGCCTGGAGGTGGGAAAGTCCAGGCGAGTGCAGGGAGCCGGGAGGCCCTCTGTTTGGGTGGAGCAGGTAGAAGGGAGTCGTGGGCACTGAGCTTGGAAAGGTCGGTTGAGCTCGGAATGCAAGGCTAAGATGTCTGGGCTCCATTCAGCAGATGGTGGGGAGCCACTGAAGGTTTTGAGCAAGAGAGTCTCGAGGCCAATGCTGCTTTTAGGGGTGTGTCTGTGGGGCAGTGTGGGGAATGAAGAGGAGGATGCGAGACCACAGGAGGCTCATTCCAGGCCCCTCCTAATGTTTAGGGGGGCAGAGCAAGAGTACAATGGAGGTCCAATACCACCTGGCTAAAATGTTTAAAAGTTATAAATCAAATTAACAAACAAATAAAACACATTCTATCCTCCTACCTTGAGAAATAGAGCTTCATAGCAACCTGGAGGGCCAGGTTCAAATGTGTGACCCTAGATCCTTATGCTGGAACACGGAGGAGCCAGGAGACCTGCCCCATGGCCCCAACCCCAGTCTGCGGCCCACCTCCCTTCTCTTCCCAGCCCTGACTCCTTCCCCGCTCTGAGAGGCCTCGCACATGCCTGCGGGCACCCAGCCCACACATCCAAACTTCGTTAGCACCCCCATCAAACAGCCACCCCCAGCAACCCTCCAGGCCTGGAGGGATACACACTGGCTGCACGTCTGCCCTTGGGAACCTGGGGAGGAGGAGTGAGCAAACCCTTGGAAGCAAGCAGGCTTGGGATGACAAAATTTCCAGAATCCAGGGTGCTCTGTGCGTGGCCTAGAAGGAGAGGTTGTAGGCTCCAGGTGGGCATATGCCCCTGACTTTGGGCCTTCTCACCCATGGGGGCTGGAGACCAGGACAGGACCTGAGTGGAGCCTTCAAAAGACAGGGTTCAGGATATGGCCCCTCCTGCCCATGGTAAGGGCTTTCAGAGCCAGCCAAGGGAAGGAGAGTGAGGCCCTGAGGCAGGGTGGGAGCAGCCCCTGTGAAGGAGGGAACAGAAATGGTAGATAATAGAATGCACAGAACCCGGAGCCTGGATGGACGTCACTGCCAATCCGAGCACCGCCAAGTACCATGCGAGCTGACCTGGCTCCCTGACACCTTGGCAGGTGGGCAGGCGGGTGGGTACAGCCACCTGCATCCCTTGTGAAAAGCCACCAGAATGACTGTACTGCTCTCGCTCTCCTCTGCCCTTCTTTGGCCTCTCTCCCCAGCCTCCAGCCCGCGGCGTCTGGCTGGGCCGTGTGCAGGGCGTCTGGCCCCAGGGAGAGGTGGGGTAAGCCGAAGTCTACACCTACACGGCTATAAATAGGGAGACTCTGAGGACTGCTCACTCAGCCTCCCGCCCCCAGCTGTGACAGCACCGGAGCCTCTCGGACGCCTGGACCATGGACCCCAGGGAATGCTCCTGCATGTCTGGTGAGTAAGGATGCCCCCCTTGGGATCCCGGGACCTTGCACCAGCTTCCTACAGCGAGCCCATGGGACTCTGATTAACGCTTCTCTTCTTTCGATTAGGAGGCGCTAATGGGTTTGTCTCAGACTGGCAACCTCTGGGGCAACTCCCACTCTGTTGGCCACCAGGCTGATGTGCTGACCAGGATGACTGTGGGCAACCTAGCGGCAGGCCACTAGGGGCAGCCACAAGGGTGGGGGACGATCTCCGGCCCAGAAGCTGGCAACCTGGTTTTGGTCCATTGCTGCTATTCGCTTCTGACATGTATTATTTCCACAGTTTTCCCATCTGAAAACTTGGGTTACCCACCCCCAGCTGACCACTTCTCAGGGTTCCTGTGAAAGTGCTAAAATGAAAAAGCTCTCGCAGAGGCAGGGGAGTTATTAGAAGTGTATGTGGACTCCCAAGTCTCTGAAACCCCTTAATTCCACGGAAGCACGCTCGCCAGGAGGAGAGAGGTTAGGGTTCAGAGCCATCTGGGTTTTACGGCCTTGGGAAACGGTATCAAAAAGCCTTACAAGCCTCCCCGGTCCTTAACAGGACATGTCTGTACCAAAAACTTGCCAAAGACGCAGAAGCTTCCAGCATCTTGAAGCTCAAAACGATAGATGGGATTCATTTTTTTTGAAGTGCAGATGGTTTTTATGAGATGAAAACAAGCCGTGGTTGCGCTGTCCCTTTGGGCTTGTTTACACGCTTTGCTGTTTCTCCCGTGCAAGCAGGATTTCCATCTTGCCTGATACCTTGAAAGGGTGAGGACGGTATAAAAGGGTTCGACAGCCCCAGGGGACCTTGGGCTTGGTGGAGTTGGCCTAGACTTGTGGTTCTCAAACCTGATTGCACATCAGAATCATCTGGGTCACTTTTTAAAAAAACTGATTCCTGGGGCTGGCCCCATGGCGTGGTGGTTAAGTTTGCACGCTCTGCTTCAGCTGCCCAGGGTTTGCCAGTTCGGATCATGGGCACAGACCTACACACAGCTCATCAAGCTGTGCTGTGGTGGTGTCCCACATATAAAGCAGAGGAAGATGGGCCTGGATGTCAACTCAGGGCCAATCTTCCTTAGCAAAAAGAGGATTGGGGACAGATGTCAGTTCAGGCTAATCTTTGTCAAAAAAAAAAAAAACTGATTCCTTTTCCTGACCCTGACCTATGAATCATAATATCTCAAGGACTGGTCCCAGGAACCCGCATTTTAACGAGTATCCTGGGGAGCGGCAGGGCTGATGCAACCACCCCAGTTTCTGTCCACGCACAGTGACTGGGAACCACTGGAGGGTCCTCACCACTCGGGGCGATGCTTGGCAGCATCTTCACCCCCTTGTCCAGTCACTGCCCCAGGACAGCCCAGAAGCCCTGCCACCGTGCCCGTCTGCAGCACATCTTGTGTCTCCCATGCCACCTCAGTCCTCACGTTTGTGGCTCTGTCTTCTCTTCTAGAAGGAATCTGCCTCTGTGGAGACAACTGCAAATGTACAACTTGCAACTGTAAAACATGTCGAAAAAGTGAGTTTGGGTGACCAGGGCACTGCTGGCTCGGAGCTAGGAAAGCCCGTTCCCTCCATCCTCAACCCTCCAGCCACGGTGGGGTCCCCGGGCTTCTGAATGCCTTTGACCCATTTGGGAGAGGTCCGAGCTGAAAGCTGAGCTCCTCAGGGCTGCAGCCCCCCTGGGGATGAGGGCTCCACGGTGTTTCCAGTGTCTGGAGCAGGAAGAGGCTTAGGGGAGCTTCTAGCCTGCCCAGTGGTGAAAGGGAGAGAGCACTGGTCTGGAGTCACGAGCCCTGAGTTTTACTCTTGGATCCGCCACTGTCCAATGACCTTGGGCAAACCTCTTCCCCTCTCTGGGCCTCTGATGGACTCTGGATGACCCCTGAGATCCCCTCCATCTCTAACATCCCACACCTTCCTGTCCCAGGATTTTTGGTGATGTGGATTGAAGCCTGTGGCATGCTCTTCTTTTTCAGCTCCTCTAAGTGGTGGGAGGGGAAGAGGTAAGATGGGAGAGTTGACCCAGAACTGATCTGTTCCTCTCTTGACCCTTTCAGGCTGCTGTCCCTGCTGCCCACCAGGCTGTGCCAAGTGTGCCCGGGGCTGCGTCTGCAAAGGGGGCTCGGACAAGTGCAGCTGCTGCCCCTGAAACGCATCCATCGTGCTGGGGGCGAGGCCTGGGAAGCATCTGTACAGTGTATTAGTCAAGAAGTCAGAATGATTGTACAATAGGTTGTGCTTTTTATATATTTGCTGTTTGGTGACAGTCATGTAAAGTGCTTGGAGCAATAAAGTTGTCACTCGTGGTTGTCTGGTGGCTCAGAGCACTGTTTTACCCTAACCCAGCAGGACTAAGAAGGGCTGACTCCATTGCAGATACAGTAGGGACCAGCCTGCATCCCTTCTGCAGATGGCTGCTAACCCCATGATCCCTCAGGCTTGCTCCTGCTGCGTGAACTTGCTGGACGCATGCACAGGACAGGCTGGGAGTATTGGGAGTCAACACCCTTGGGAACAGCCCTTAATGGATGACAAACAGGAGCTGGTGGATAAATACCCCCAGCATCTTTATTCTTACAGTGAGACAAATCTGAGATATTCTACACCATCCCCAGAAGTCCCCAGCAGCACTGAGCTCCAATAGCCCACTGTGAAACCTGCTCATTAACATGCCCCATATTGGCTTCATTCCTTCTCTGCCCCACTTCTGCATTCTCCTACCAGTGCTTCCTGGGATCCCCACCCAAAGAAGTACTTTTACAGGGTCTGCTCTGGGGGTGACCCATCTAAGCCAGGCTCTCCTGACATGCTGTTGACCAAGAATGCCTCACTGTGCTAATGGTGCTGTTTAAGGGGCGTTAGCACTGAATCAGCCACAAACGGGGTGTCTGTGCAGATCTAAGGAAAAGCCCCAAGGCCAAGACAATGAGGGCATTAGCTGCCCAGGTTTGGATATTGGGCCAGCCTTCAGGATGGGGCGACTGCGCAGACAGGGCCCAGGGGCAGCTGATGCTGTTCATTGCAGTTCTTGCATTTCACAGAAGTCAATGCAAAGAGAAACCGAAATCTTCCATTATTTCACTCAGATTGCTGACGTGAATCAGAGCTTTCGCTACACCAGCACAATTCCGATGAAGTTTGATGATGATAATAGTTGCCATTATGCAGCACTCATGATGCACCAGCCATTGTTCTGAGCACTTTACACACGTGCTCTCATTTAATCCCTACAATAGCCCTGCAGAGGGGTGGGTCGTGTGGAGGCATCCTTGATTTTTAAAAAATGAATTATTTTTAAACAGGTCTACACACACAATGTACAAAACACAAAGATACAAAAGGTATAAGTCTTCTCCCCATATTCATGCCCCAGTCTCCCCTCCCCAAGATAACTACAGTAACCCCTTTCTTGCGTAACCTTCCAGGGTATTCCATGCCTGTACAAGGATGTATGACACACAGCATCACACACACACACACTGCAGAGTACTACATACCCTGGGAAACTTGGGAAATGTTTTCCCTTGTATAGTAAACTCTCCATCAGGTCCTTTTTTCCACTTAAGAGAGAAGAATAAGTATAAGGAAAAATAAGAAGATTAAACAACCACGAAATAAGGTGACAAGACAAGAAAACGATGGAAAGGCCTGGCCCTTGGAGTCTGACGCTCCACCTTCCCCCACTGCGTGACCTTGACCAAGTCACTTACCTCTGAGTCTCAGTTTCCGCTTCGTGAAACATACCGCCCTCCCAGGGAGAGACCATAGCAAAAGGTCTATGCACATAGTAGGTGCTTCATAAACAGGGATTTTAGTAGGGCTGCAGCCTTTCTTAGGCTTCGGTTTATTAATCTCTGAGAAGGTCCCCACCAAGTCACTCTCTGATTGCAGAGCTCTCAGGCCCCTTGGGAAGGAGGTGATGTTGGCAATGACACTGTCCAGGGGACAGAGCAGTCCCTTGTGTCTCCAACAGGCACGCAGGCCACTCTCCCTGCCACCTCAGCCTCAGCACCCACAGGGATGCCATCTCAGCTCATCTAAATGCTTTACCCGAACAGTCTCCTTTATTCCTATCACAACCTGGAAGCGACAATCAGCCCCCAGAGTCTAATTTTAATAATAATACCAATCACCAATATTTATTGAGCACTTCATATGTGCCAAGCACTGGAGTAAGCATTTTGTAAACATTATCCCATGGGCCCTGCACAATCCGGGCTGCGCTAGAGCTGGGCAATCTGGGCTCTGCTATGGACCCCCTGCCTTACAGAGTCTGTCTCTGACCCTCCGCCCCACAGGTGAGGAGTCTGAGAACCCAAGGGGATGTGTCTACCTGGGACTCATATCTGCCTCTTGGCCCACACCCCTATCCCACCATCTCGATATGCTCTGAGTAGCTGGGACCCCAGAGCCCAATACCAGGGTTTGCGTGGGCCTCTTCCCCAGGTCGGTCCTGCCTGAGGGTGGACAATGCCATGAGTCGGGGTACTCCCAGGCCTGAGGGATGGCCCAGGGGCAGCTGTATTCAGGGATGGGGGGATGTGTGGACAGGGATTGGACACTCGAGTTCTGATGTCTACACAGCATGGAATGGAGCCAGGGGCGGGAAGAGAGGGAGATGAATTGCAGGCTAACCCTCCGCTTTTGCTTTTGCCCGGGCCCTGTGAATGTTCGGGGCAGGCCTGCACTACCAGCCCTGGAGGAGAACCCCGCTATAACCCTCCCTTCACACACGAGAAAGCTGGGGCTCAGGGCTTTGAGATGGCTGGCTCAAAGTCATGGCTCGTAAGGGCAGAACTGGGACCTGAGCTGGGGTCTGCCTGACGTAGAGGTTGTGCTCCTGCCTTCGCTATATGGATGGGGCAGGAGCAGGTAGCAGGTCATACTGCCCTGGACCCAGGCATAAAGGGCCCCTGCCCCGGGCCTTGTGCTTTAGAGAGCCTGCATATCACAGACACACGAGCACAAATTTATTGACAAATATGTAGAGGCCTCTGTCACTCACAATCTGGTATTTGTTTGGCGCAGTGTGACCAAGTCATCCTAAACCTCTGCTCTGTTACTAACACTCCCCCAGGGAAATCCTTCTCTCGGCCTTGCTCTATGTTCTCAAAACAAAAAGCAGGTCAAAGACCTTAACAGTCATTGCACAAAGAAGATATACAGACGGCAAATAAGTATATGAAGAGATGCTCCACATCAGGGAAATGCAAATTAAAACAATGATGAGATACCACTCCACACCTATTAGAATGGCCAAAATGCAGGACACTGACAACACTAGATGCTGGTGAGGATGTGGGGCAACAGGAGCTCTCATTCATTGCTGGGGGGAATTCAAAAAAGAACAGCCACTTTGGAAGGCAGGTTCGCGGTTTCTTGCAAAATTAAACATACTCTTATCATACAATCCAGCAATCATGCTCCTTGGTATTTATCCAAAAGAGGTGAAAACTTCTGTCTACACAAAAACCAGTACACGAATGTTCATAGCAGCTTTATTCATAATTGCCAAAATCTAGAAGCAACCAAGACGTCCTTCAGTAGCTGAATGAATACACTGTGGTGCATCCAGACAATGGAATATTATTCGATTATTTCTAAAAAGAAATGAGTGAGCCAGCCCTGATGTCCTAGCGGTTAAAGCTCGGCACTCACCACTTCGGCGGCCCGGGTTCACTTCCTGGTCGTGGAACCACAGCAACTGTCTGTCAGTTGCCATGCTGTGGTGGTGGCTCACATAGAAGAACTAGGACTTAGCACTAGGACATACAACTATATCCTGGGGCTTTGGGGAGAAAATAAAGAGAGGAAGATTGGCAACAGATAACTCAGGGTGAATCTTTCCCTGCAAAAAAAAAAAGGGAGAAAGAAAGAAGTGAGCTGTCAAGCCATGAAAAGACATGGAGGAAACTTAAATGCATTTTACTAAGTGAAAGAAGACAATCTGAAAAGGCTACAAACTGTATTATTCCAACCTGACATTCTGGAAAAGGCAAAGCTATGGCGACAGTAAAAAGATCAGTGGTTGCCAGGGATTGGGGGGAAAGAAGGAGGAAGAGGTGGAGCACGGAGGATTTTTCAGGCAGTGAAGTTATTCTGCATGATACTCTAACGGTGACTATATGTCATTAAACATCAGTTCAAACCCAAAAAATGTACACCACCAAGAGTAAACCCTAATGCAAACTATGGTCTTGGGTGATAATGATGTGTCTATGTAGGTTCATCAGTTGTAACAAATGTACCATCTGATGGAGGATGTTGATAATGGGGGAGGCGGTACATGTGTGGGGGCAAAAGATATACGGGAAATCTCTGTACCTTCCTCTCAATTTTTCTGTGAACCTAAAACTACTGTAAAAAATAAAGTCTACTTTTAAAAAGTGACAATATCTGAATGTCAAGAAGGTTTACAGTAGCATTGGCATTGGCCAATGTCAGAGATGGACACTGCTTTCAAAATGCAGTGGGGGGGGGCTGAGTGGTAGAAATGAGAGAAAAGGCAAATTAACTTACCAAACGCTTCTTCTCAAACGGCATGAACGCAACAGATTCTCACGTCACAAAGTATCATTTCCCAATAGGGTGATGCACAAATTTTTCTTACTTTTCTTCGTGTTCCAATTTGTGTTTCCAGAATATTCACGACTTTATGCTATTTGCGGAAGTTGTACAAGGCAACTGATAAATATCTTGTACTATTAAGCAATTCATATTACTTTTAAATTTGTATATATGTATACACACACATATATATTTTTACATTGTCAACTAGATGGACATTGAATTCTAGAATTATGTATAATTTTATTTCTATGAAAACATTTAATAAAATTTAATTAAATCTTTGAGAAATTGAATAATGTAGGACAGTGAAGCTAGATGGAGAAAATTAGCTCGACTTGGAGGCCTCCTTCAGCAAGAGCTTCAGCCCTGGGCTGACCACTTCTGGCCTTCTTGGAACAGGGAGAAAATACAGCCCTATTTGGGGAAGCCACTGTGCGGCTGAAAGCAATCTAACAGATACCTTGTGTAACTATGATTAAATCTTCCCCACTCTGTAGTTGATTACGACATTTGAAATAAAATAAAGTTTTTACAATATTATGATTACAAGAATACTATTTACCCGTGAACTAAGGGTGAATGGATCCACAAAGAAGGATATGGAACTCCACATCACTGAAACACGGCTTCTTGAAGGAGAAAGAAGGTAAGAGAGGTGCTCTCTCCTGAGACTTGCTCAGAATCGGGGCACATCTTAGTTTGCTCCATTTTCGGACTATCTTTTTCTTGCAGAGCT